GGGCGCCGGACACAGGGCGCCGCCTCGGCCTCGCTCTTCGCCTAAAAGGCGGAGGCAGCTCTCTGTGCCCCCTCGCATTGCCAAAACACCGGATTTCCACAGCGTTGCTGACTGCAGGAATAACAAAGAGGGGAGAGGAAAACAAAAGGAAACCAAACAAAAACCAACCACGACGCGTGGGAAGTTCAGGGAAGCTTAAAGGTGTGGAAGGGACTAAATAAATTCCACGCGTCTGTTGAGGAATAGAGTTTTTCTGTGTTTTACAATATACGGTTCATTGCAATCTTTATCGCTGAATCTTGCGTTTAAAGATTTGGAGGACGCGTGTTGCTACTGCGTTCTTGTGTGCAGCCTGTGTTAACCACTCCTTTGAGGACTGCAAGAAAAAGCAGCTATCTTCTCCCAGATTAGCCTGCACATTACTGATAAAATCAGGAGCATGATCCGTTACCTCACTCAGCGTAACCACTAGACATATGCTCCTGAGCGGACTGGCAGACGCGGGACTGCGAAGGGATCAGGGATATCCGTGTGTGACACGGAGCCAACTCGACTGCCTGGGACGCTCCTGAGTTGTGCCGGAAGGTGATGTTCGGTGACAGCTGTGTCAAGGGACGCTGGAGGCCTGAGGGTGCCGGAAAAGGTTGACGTTTTCGCTACGATTTCTTCAGCATGGCTTTGCCAGAGCTCCTTTGGGGATATTAGGCTGAAGGGAGGTTATTGGCGGAGTTTTCAAGTACTTTAGTCTTGGAATTGACTTTCCTGAGCGTTTGCACTTAAGACCCTAGGGCAGAGATTAGGACTGTGCTGAGAAAACCTGTTAGTGACACAAAGTTAGCGTATATCAGCAGTACAGAGGACAGCTGTGTTACACAGAAAGAATGAGATCGTTTTGAGGCCTAGAGTACTTGACGGGATGAAATTCAGTACTGGAAATTTACGGTCATATCTTTAGGAACTAATAACAAGCTCTCATTATTTGGTGGGATCTTATTATTTGGAAATGATCATGGAGAAGCACTTAGATATTTCAGTTGGTTCCACATAATTGTTCTGTAATCCATACAATGCACCCCCTCCCAAAAAAAACCCCCACAAATGTGATTTGAAGAGCTATAAGTCAATGTATTTTTGGGACAGGCAAGTGAACGTACATCCGTACCATCCGTAGCTCACCTGAATTATTGCATATGCTTCTGGTCATCCATGTTCAAGAAGCCAAACTTGAAGACAGAATAGCTGCGGAGTAGAATAGAGACTCTCTGCTATGTTAGACAAGAGCACTGGTCCTTGAATCTAGTGAAATAAAGACCAAAGAAATTATGACTATGTCTCTAGAGGACAGGCATTTTATAATTGGAAAAGGCAAAAAGCTGTGTAAGACGGAGAACTATGCTGGCACTAGAGTAAATGGGTATGAACTGAACAATAACCTGTTTGAGCTAGAAATTCAGAAGCAGAATTGCAGCCATCAGAGCAGTGAGATTGTAACAGCCTTATAATGGAAGTCACATGGATAAAATCTGGCTATTTTAAGCTGGAGCTCAAGAAGCTTCTAAAAGGGATTATATGTTGTCTTGCCTAGGATACCCGAGGGCTGGATGTGGGGAGGTGGCTCCTTTCCTGTCTGTGTTTCTACAAACCCCTCCCCCCCCCAGCTCTGCTTTGCTACCTCCTGGCATCGTGCACAGTGAATCTTTCCAGTTTGAGAGATGCACGCTTGTCTGCACATCCTGATTATTATAAAACATTGTTCTTCCAGAAAATTTCACTTTCCAGTGTCATCTCTCAGATGTCTTTCATTCTTTTGTTCGCTCTTTACTCACAAGAATGATCTCTCCTCTCTGTTTGCATCTGGCTCAGGCAGCCTCCTGGGAAAGAAGCAGCTGTGTGAATGAGGTACCTAGCAGTCTCATCTGCCATGAGGTGCTGACGGGCTCAAAGACCAAGAGGCAGTGTTCAAGGAGGTGCAGGACGCCCCTGAAATGGTTCCCTGCTCTTTCCTCATCACACCTCCTCATCACACATCATTTCCTAAATGCCAGAGGAAGATATTAGTAAGTCAAGCGGTTCATGCATGTGCAAGTCTCCGTTATTTGTGCCCCCCTTTTCTGTCAGAGCTGTACGTATTCAAAATAGATAGATATATTTACAGCATATATTCCCTTTAAATGGAAGTCTGTGTTACTACTTCCTTATCTCCCCGTTTTTGTGAGTGTGGCTGTAGTCTTGCAAGGTACTTCCGGGTTTCCATATCTGGATCTGATTTTCACCAGTGGCCACTGAACCCCTGCAGTTTCTTCTGGCTGCAGTAGTAATTGTGGCTTTCCAGTTCTCAGTATCAGCCTCAGAAAAAAACTACTCCAACGTTGCGCTTATTAATATATTTACTCATAAAAGAGCAACAGGCTTAGTGTGGCAATGCACTTTTTGCTTACTGTTTTCATATGGCCTAAAACAACAGTGATCTGTCTGATCACTGTCTTGTGGCTCTACTGTAATAAAAATAATGCTTTTATGTACGTTCAAGGCGTTGAGGGACACTGAGAGCTAGGCCTGAACTGAGCTTTCCCCACTTTCCTGTTTTCGTTTTGTCAGGGTTCTTTGTGCTTCATGGTCATACACTGAAAAGCTCTTTCAAACATTATTTTTAAATGTTTGAAACTAACATTTATAAACTGATCAGAAATGGTTTTCAAAGTCTTTGCTTGGCACGGCAAAGGCCAACACACAAAGAATGCAATGTGTATCCCAGCTCTGGGAGGTGTTCGGCATCTCCTTCTCCCCCGACCAGTAACCTCTTTCAGTCTCTTTCTCTTAAAGCTGGCCTTGTGAATTACAATCTTTTTTTTTTAATTTCTTCTCTTTCTTCTTATACTTGTCCTTTTTCTGTCTATCTATCGCCAATGAAGTAATTTTTTTCAGTCTTCTCCAAATAGCTTCTTTTTGATATAAAGTATTTCCCGCTCCCTGGAAATTCTGTTCTTTTTCACTTTGATTGACAACCGCATGTTTCCTTTCACACCCACCCCCATTACAGACCTCTTTTTGGCTGCAGTTTCCCCTTTGCATTAAACAGACCTGCTGCTGCCTTCTCTGAGAAAAGTGTTGAAAAGAGTTTTCCAATTTCAGACAGCTTTCCTTTTTATAGCATTTGCTAGCAGCATTGTGGTTATGGCTGAGCTGACATTTCCAACTGGAGACAACCAGAAGCCAGGACTGCAAGTACCAGACAGGGCTTTTCTAACCTTTAGTTTTATTGTCTTTTCATATAAGATAAAAAGGCGTAGGATAAGGGACATAATGCTACTCCTTAGTTAGACAGTTACAGAAACTTTTTAGGGTATCACACACTGCTAGGAATAGATGTTTTGAAATACAAGGGTGTTCAGCTGTTTTTATGCACTTTGGAATCTCCATTGCAGTGTTGCTAGATCACATGCATAGACAACGAAGATGGTGTTAAGGGATGCCATGAGGGCTGCTGTCTCTGGCAGACTCCAGGATGTGGGAATTCCTCCTGCCCGGCCGCCAGAGCCCACCCGGGGGAACCCAGAGACCTGAGGGTATCCCTGGACCGGACGATGGATGCAGCAGCTGCCTTCCCATTTGCATGTTCAACCAGTAGCAAGCCTGAGTGTGTATCCCAGAGACACACATCTGCGCACGCACAGAGGACACTAACGTGGCCGGCTACAGACGGCCTCAGCCACAGCCACAGTGCTGCTTTCAACAACACCCACCACATAACACTACCACAACTCACATAAAAGGTATGTATAGATAGCCTAGTCCCCTTGCTCCTCTCCGGTTGATGCGGACTGAAGTTCACTAGTGAAAGTACATCCTCACTCTCTAGATTCAGAAGCACATGCACATCAATGGATCCCGTCTGATATCCCTGCCCGGACCCTGAGCCCCTCTGTCTGCCATAGGGGCCTCCTACTCGCTGTCTACTCCAGCCTGATGCTTGCAAGCACACGGATGAACGCGCTTACCCACTTCTCTCACAGCCTCTCCCCCTACACTTGCAGGTCCCTTGAATATTAGCACGGGTGCTCTGCCCATCTGGCATCCCTGCCAGGTCCTGGGCCTCCTACTCACTGCTAGCCCATCTTGAAGTTTGCTAGCAAATTACACACATACCCATGCACACACCAGGTCAGGGGGAAATCCATACGCTCCCCCCCAGCAGCCGGTGGCCAGACCCACGGCTGCTACCATCCGCTGTCCTACTCCAGCTGCTGACGCCGAGACCCTCACTCCGCTTTCGCTCTGGCCCCCGCAGGAGCTGACACGCAGGATGCACAGCACTGCACCCCCTATACCCCAGTAGCGGCTGATGCTGGGACCCTCACCCACTCCACTTGCTAGGCCCCTTCACTCACAGTCTGACTCCAGTTGCTGGCCCAAATTCAGTCACGCTTGTCTCTCCTGTTGCTGGCACCTCGTCCTTACAGCACTTGCACACAGGGCAGGAAGTTTTGTTTATTGCGTTCCCCTTTACTTGTCCTTTTTGCACTGAAAAGATCCTTGATCTTGATGGTAATGAAGGAGATGGTCTTACATTCCACATACCTTATACGATACCTTATGGATCGTATACATTAGTATAGTTATTAGGTAACAGTAGATACAGAATCACAGAATCACAGAATGGTTGAGGTCGGAAGGGACCTCTGAAGATCATCCAGTCCAACCCCCCTGCTCAAGCAGGGTCCTCTAGAGCACATTGTCCAGGTTTGAGTCCAAACGGCTTTTGAACATCTCCAAGGAAGGAGACTCCACAACCTCTCGGGGCAACCTGCTCCAGTGCTCTGTCACCCTCACAGCGAAGAAGTTTTTCCTCAGGTTCGGATGGAACTTCCTGTGGTTCAGTTTGTGCCCGTTGCCTCTTGTCCTATTGCTGGGCACCACGGAGAACAATCTGGCCCTGTCCGCTTGACACCCTCCCTTCAGATACTTGTACACATTGATCAGATCCCCCCCTCAGTCTTCTCTTCTCCAGGCTGAACAAGCCCAGCTCTC